GGGCGAAGCGAGGAATGGAACAGCAGTTATTGGAAATGAAGACTCAGCTGGAAGAGCTGGAGGATGAACTGCAGCTCACAGAAGATGCCAAACTGCGCCTAGAGGTCAACATGCAGGCCATGAAGGCTCAGTTTGAGAGAGACCTTCAGAGCAGAGATGAACAGGGTGAGGAGAAACGGAAACAGCTAGTCAAACAGGTATGTGCTCACCTGCCTGACCTCTTCAGTCAGTATTAATCCATGAGATGCTGATGCATGTTGAGAAACTGCGAGATAATACACATCTACTGATATTATGCTTTAATATGTCAGGTGCGTGAGATGGAGATGGAGCTTGAGGATGAGAGGAAACAGCGGGCTCAGGCCGTATCTGTGCGCAAGAAGCTTGAGCTGGATCTGTCGGAGTTGGCTGCTCAGATCGACAATGCCAACAAGGCTCGAGATGAGGCCCTCAGACAGCTCAAGAAACTACAGGTATTCACATACACGTTCTGCATGAGCATGGGCATCACTTTTGTATTAAAGTGGTGGGGACATTTCTGGTTTCAGGAACCAGAAATCAGATCTGTACTTTTGCATGTGGAATAAAATAAAATAGAGCACATGCTGTAACCATGGTATCCGTGTCATTTCCTCTCTTGCTTTGCAGGCCCAGATGAAAGATCAGATGAGAGAGTTTGAGGATCTGCGTCTGTCCAGAGATGAGGCTCTTAACCAGGCCAAAGAAAACGAGCGCAAGATCAAGAGCATGGAGGCTGAGATCATGCAGCTGCATGAGGTTTGTCTTGTTGGATCAGAATTGTGCTGCAGCTAGGGTCAATTTAATTGTTTGTTAGTTTAGAAGAATAGGATTCTTTATAAAAGAGTATGCATGTGGAAAACGTTTCCCGTTTTTTGTCTCTGTAGGATCTGGCTGCTGCTGACAGGGCAAAGAGACAAATCCAACAAGAACGAGATGAACTGCAGGATGAGATCAATAGCCAGAATGCCAAGAAGTGAGTTACCTGCTGTCATTGTGATGTATTGTCTGGTAGCGTATCCTGCACCAGACAGTTAGTCCTAGAAAATCGAAGTGTATTTGGTATCTCACAGTGTTGGGGGGGTTTAAATAGTGGGGTTTTTTTCTTCCCACCTCTGTCAGCTCACTGAGCAGCGATGAGAGGAGGAGACTGGAGGCACGTATTGCTCAGCTTGAGGAGGAACTTGAGGAGGAACATCTCAATGTGGAACTGGTCAATGATCGACTGAAGAAAGCGACACTGCAGGTAGAGTACAGAGAGCGTCATGAGATGACAGCTGAGATTTGGGAACACTTCAAATGGTGTTCATCATGATTCTCTGTGGCTTTATTTTGGTTTAACGTCAGGCTGAGCAGGTTACAGTGGAGTTGTCTGCAGAGCGTGGTAATAGCCAGCGTCTGGAGGGTTTGCGCTCTCAGCTGGACCGCCAGAACAAGGACCTAAAGCAGAAGCTTCAGGATTTAGAGGCAACTGTGAAGAGCAAGTACAAGTCCACTATTGCTGCTCTGGAGGCCAAGATCCCACAGCTCGAAGAGCAGTTGGATATTGAGATGAAGTGAGTGATGATGGATGGTTTGTTATTGGCAGCAACTTTCAAACCCACACAGATACCGGCATAATATTCAGATATCATTATGGACTTGCACAGCATAATTGCGCCTCAAATCCCCCAATAGCATTTCAGTTGTCAGCTTGTGTTGTAAGGTCTTTATTTTATAGTATTTTAACATGATGCAGCTTTCCTCAGTGACTGTCAGTGATTTACTTTGCGTCTCTAAACCAAACTTAATTTACTTCTTGTCAGGGAGAGGCAGCAGTCCACTAAACAGGTGCGGCGTATGGAGAAGAAACTCAAAGAGATCTTACTGCAGGTTGACGATGAGAGACGCAATGCAGAACAATTCAAAAATGAGGTAGGTTGTGGAATTAACTTATAATACAGTAAGCTTGTTCAAACTACTGCAAAGCCAAGGCAGAGTCTTAATTTGATCTTTATACATTCTCAATCAAAGGTGATTTGATCCACTTGTACCTCCTACAGCTCATTTAAATTCAAGGCCTCTTTTGTTGCTGTCTTTATTACTAGTTAATGTTCCTATTTAATAGTCACAAAGTTTTACTCTTAATGGTGGACAGCTGAAATGTAAGTATCGTTATAACTCCGTATTTTGAATGCCATTAATGAAATCTTCCTCTTTGTCAGACTGAGAAGCTGAACACTCGTATGAAGCAGTTGAAGGGGCAGCTAGAGGAGACTGAGGAGGAAGCGGCTCGAGCTAACGCCTCCCGCAGGAAGCTGCAGAGAGAGCTGGAAGATGCCACAGAGTCTGCTAATCTTATGAACCGAGAGGTCAGCACCCTAAAGAACAAACTCAGGTGCGTACTCTGCAGCTTTGTTATAGTCATGGCACTGTATCATTCCTCAAACGTCGGTTTTAAAATGAGAAATTACTGACAAATCGGTCTGAAACACTTGTTTAAATTTGTATGCCACATGTTAAGTGTTTTATTTAACTTATGTTTGTCTTCTTCAGGCGGGGAGATTTCACTGTCAACGTACGTCGTACAGCTGGACGCTCGGGTGTGGATAGTGATGAGGAGAACAGTCTGAAAAGTGATGGGTCAGAGCCAACTCCTGAGTAAATTTCAGCGTATCAAAGCTGAGCCTATGGGTATTACAGATGAGGATCTATTATTTGCCACCAAGCTTGTCGTTTAAATGAAATTTGTATGCTTTGAGGGCAACTGTATCCTTAATCAAAATCTCAAATATGTCAAAATCTGCTTTAAAACATTGAACATTTTCAGTGTTTTAAAGCAGATTTTGAGCCAAACAATTATTCAAGCCATAACTTTGCGTCCAAGATAAACAAAAAATAAAAGATGATTTGGGATGAAGAAAAATCTTTCATTTTGCCACTTCTCAAACTTTCTTTCCAGTAAAACTGAAACCGTTCATTTGGCGTAATTAGTCTTGCCCTGTTGATAACTGCCTTGCAATGCATTTGAATAAATATTGGCTATTTATATTTTACATGGAAGACAAAGTATTCATCCATTTTCAAAGTAAATTAAAATTGAAATTTTTATAATGGATAATGGGAAGAAATTTCCTTATTCAATAATAAATGATCCAGGATTTGCAGGAATATTACCCATCAGCCAAAGAGATTAATCTTAGTTTTTTTTTGTTTCAAGAGCACTTCAGCACCAATTAAGCCTTTTTCCTAATAGATTCACTGGCACCTTTCCACCTCTTCTACTCTGTTTTTAAAATTAAGACTCTTTGCCTTAATTACATAAAATATTAATGTTTTTGAGAGTTCTCAGGATTTGTATACCACGTATTACTGCAAACTAAGTTGTTTTTTCTTGATGTTTTTGAAGTTCAAACTTTAGGTGGTGGGGTGTGTAAAAGTTTTCATTTGTACTCAACCTTTTATTTTTTGTATTCAATTTTAAATGTTTGCTAAAATGATTAATCTGTCATACAGTATTTGTCTGCATAATACATTATACTATATATTTTTCCTGCTGTATGTTTCTAACCCTCCATTTGGAGAATCTTGATAGGCCTATAAATTGTCAAACTTCAGTGCAATGGCAGTGGACTGACTGTATTTGGAACAATTGAAAAGATATTTTCCTCTCACTTTTAATGTCACATACTGTTTCAGTGCATCTGATTAAAGCTTTGTTTTTTTTTGTACCCTCAATTTTACCTCTAATTCTTCCAAACACAGCAGTATTTCATTATAGACAAGATTTTCTTAATGAATAAAGTGATCAACTGGTCAAAGATCTGTGCTGATAACTGAAAGACTGTAGATTAAAATTCTATAAAGGCACATTCATAAAATATTTGTAATAAAATGGTTGCAGTGCTTCCCACAGGTTTGAAATATACTTGCAGTGGTAGCCAGGTGGAAAATCCTCCTATTACTACCCGCAGCACAAAAATGGTCAGTACTACATGTGACAAATATTGTGATTCTTAACCATTTTTATTTATTGAAATTAATTTCAATTACATAGGCTACTATTACTTTTAATTACATACTCATATTATGTGTTGTGTTGTAAATTATGCAAAATACAGCATTTAAATGGTAGAGTTCTCCTTGCTTTGTCATATAGTCTCTCAGTGAATGGGACACAGATTTTACTGATACTAGTAAAATCTATATATTGAATAATATGTCAAATAATGTTCTTTGACTGTTCTTCCTGTGGGAAAGCATCCCAGCCGGAAGTTACAATAGTTTACTATGAATTAAATGGAAATTAAATTAAATTACAATTTTATTTGTGTAACCAAAATACCAATAATGCCCAGGAAAAAAAACACTTAACGTGTGACTTTTAATTATAAACAAGCCCGAAATACACCGGGACTCTTATTTTGAAATGTCTATACTATTGCAGGCTGAACCTTCAGATGAGAGATAAAATATGCATTCGTACCACCGTCTGAAACGTATATAAAGGTCATAAAGTAGACATTGTCATAATTCGTCAACTCGAGTTCATAAGCAATCACTTGGCATAAATATGCGCTATTTATTGATTGAGAATCACTCTGAAGCAGTCTGAAGCGCTGTTGCTCAATAGTGTCTAGAACGCGCAACAGCGCCGCCTTATGACACTACAACGAGCACTAATAGACTAAAAGACTCCTCAATCAAATGACCAATACCAGTAATACAGTCCAGTCTCTATTAATATGTCTTGGAGGCAATTCAAAAATACGTAAATTTTATTTTCGAAAGAATGCCCAATTTATCACAAGAGATGACAGCAGTGTTAAATAAATTCCGTGTTTGGGAAGACATTTACCTCAGAGCTCCAGTGGGGGGCATCAAGCCTCGCGCATCAAGTGTCTCTCCCCCGAGCACGTGTAACCGGCACCGCTGGAATAATCGAGCTGAAACCGGTTCTTGCCCGTTGTTCTGCAGACTACGCATCTAGTAGGTTACGCGAACAGCGCACAACTTTCTCGCGCAAGCGTAACTCCAAACTCACTGCTCACGGTGTCCGCGCAGGAATGTGGTGTTGAAAACTCTTGTGTAACGAACGCCTGCTGTTTCACCGCCAATTTAGTTTACGTTACATTGTTTGCCTGAAACTATTTTTTTTGGAGATACTGGAAAACGGAACAACTGTATGTAAGGTAAAGTGTATGGCTTGTGATGGAGTGAGAGGTGACTGTTAGCATTACCGGCTAACTGACAGAAATCAGCTGACGTGTATTGCACCACCTTATTTCCAATGTGTTTATTGTCAGTTTTGTATTTTACTGAGAAAACAATATCAGTTGTTAGCCGTTGTAGGATATTTGAAGTAACGTTATGCCGGGCCAGAGAAATTAGCATTAGCTTTTACTAAGATCTGCTTTAGTAGTTTGTTTTTATTTGACATTTAATTATGTGGTATGCTGCAGATTTCTACGTTTATGTAATATTTTAATAATTAAATGGTGGTTTCTGTGTTTAAATTAGTCGGCTCCGTATGTACTGTTGACAGCTGTGCGTAAAGTGACAGAAAGAGCGAGAATCATGATGAAGATCAGTCCTCATTCACTCTTCCTCTTCGGTCCTTAAGAGACAGGTACGTTAAACATTAAATATATCCTAAATCTCTCTCTCTCTCTCTCTCTCTCTCTCTCTCTCTCTCTCGTGTTATGGTAGCAGTGCTTACTTAATCAGGTTGGGTATTAAATTAATTTCTCCCTCATACAGTCTGGAATCAAAGCTTTGACGTCTCAGACATCACAACGGCCATAGAACAGATAAAAGGGAGGGAGTTGAGCTCTTCCTCTGTGCAAGCTTCATCATCATCCTCTCCATCTGCAATGGAGGTTGCCCTGGTGAGTTGGTGCTAACGATGTGTGCTTTAATGTAGATTTGTTTTACTGAAGTTAAACATGAAATGTTGAATAACTTGAAGGTGAATATATTAGAATAGCCTGAGATTGAGCTACTTAACCTGACTGGCTATTAAAAAGCCAGTGTCACGCTTTTCTGATATATTCTGCAATGCTGATTGATTACTAAACATGAACATCAGCTTGAATTTGTGACATTCTTTTGGGAAGAGAATCGTGGTTGTCCAATATAACACATAATGTCAAGACATAATAAAATTCACTGATACTCAAAGAAACATACACAAAGTTGCTGAAATTAAATGAGCACTTATTTTACACAATATCAACTCAGAATTCACTAAAATATTTGAAAACATGAATGTGCATGTTCCATTAAGAATGTTGTATATTTTAACTGATGCAAAAACTTCTACATGTGTTTACTGACCAATCAGTCATAGTCACCGGCTGATGCTGATTGTCTCAAAAGGGCCAAATACCTGCAGAATTATTGTTTTGACCGACATTTCAGTCTTTCACTAGTAGAGAAAAGCAATTATATCTTATTATTTTTTATTTCTTATTTGTATTGGAAGGCTGAGGGAGTGTGTATGTTTTGGTGACACTGTTTTTCTCAGCACAAAACCTTTTTTATGTGCAAAAGGCATATAACGATCCGAAAGTCATTTTCTTTGTTGTGCTTCCCGGCTGAACCTATGTTGGAATAATTTGATATAGGCTATGCATCCAATGTATGACCCACATTTCCTCTGTCACATCCACACATGCACACACACATATACATATGCCTTCAGCAACTGCATGACTCACACTGTTCTGAAAGCACTTGATTTGGAACACAAACGGGGGGACTGAAACCACGGATGTGCGTTTAGGTGCGATAAGGAGTGCGGAAAACCAGTGCCGAGATCGGCAAGCACGGAAGCTTGTGGATTAAGCTGTTGAATCTCCTGCTGTTGGGTGGGAGGGGGTTAAAGAGAGATTTGTGGGCATTGTGTTTGAGAGGAGAGAGATGGGGGCTTACTCTGTCATGTGCTGTTAGCGGCAGCAGATAGAGTGAGTGAGAGAGAGAGATGCAAGAGAAAAAGGACCCTCAGCCCAAATCTGCCAGCAGCCTGGGAAAGGTAGGGCAGATTAGTCAGTGGCTCACTGTATGTTTCTCTAGTGTGTGTTTTTGTGTGTTTCTGCGCAGTTGTGTGTGCGTCTGCCCATCACTTGTGTCTTGCTGTTTTCATGCTTCTAAATGAATCTCAGCACTCCGGGGAGCCTGTCGGCATTGCTCGAGTCTTGATGTGCATGTCAGTGTGCGTGTGATGTTGCTGACGGTGTCAGTGTGTGCCTGTGCATCTGTGTTGGGTGTGATTCTCTATTATGGTCAGTTTTGAAGTGCGTTCATGTGTACGTGTGGTCATGCACAAACAATATATTACTTTTTTTATTTGCATAAATGTACATTGCATAAATGTATTGTAAGGTTTGGTGTCCATGCAGGGCTCTAAATGTTGGATGGATATTCAGTGCGTGAGAATATCCTTTTATCTGGGGTGTCAGTTTTGGTCACTGTGGTGTTTTTAGTGCTCTTGCAGTAGATGGTGACTGTTGTGTTGAGAAAATTAAGGCTTTTGTTTTTGTACCCAAGCCTGTTAAAGGGGGCATAACTTGGAAAACAGAATTATTCTGCTCTTATGAAATAAAACTTTTACAGTGCAGAGCTCCCTTCATAGTCCACCCAGAATGTTAAAGGGGTCATATGATGCTGCTAAAAAGAACATTATTTGGTGTAATGAAATGTGTTTATGTGGTTTAAGGTTAAAAAACACACATTATTTTCCACATAATGTACATTATTGTTGCTCCTCTATGCCCCGCCTTTCTGAAACGTGTCGATTTTTACAAAGCTCATCGGTCTGAAAAAGCGAGGTGTGCTGTGATTGGCCAGCTATCCAGTGCATTGTGATTGGCCGAATACCTCAAGCGTGTGACGGAAACGTTAC